AATGTGTTTTAAAACTTCCTAAGTCTTTAAAACCTCCTCAGCTGATTATCTGCTCGAAGGTAACTATAAGAAACAATTTAATAACAGCTTCCTTAAGGCTTTGCAATGTATGCATATTTTTCAGCAGTTTTTCGGTCTAACAAGACTAACTAGAAATAAGTATTTGCCATTTCAAAGATTTGTTCTCACAAGTACCTGATGCATGTAAGGTAGAAGGCAGGTCTTGTGAACCAAGCGCCTCCTGTTCTCAGAAACACTCTGCTCCGTGGTTACGGTTCTCTTTGTTTCCTTAAAAACAAATGTCTTTTCTCTCGCCAATCTCATCTGTGAATTTGAAACTAAATGAAGTATCATTCTGTATGGCATCACTTCACTGACGGAGAATTAAGCATGTAAAAAATGTCAGGCTTTCCCTCTGCAGAAATTCAATTTTGCCCAAAAAACGCTGTGGGTACATAATGTATGTGTGCTTCTGCCAAATCTTACTCGAGAGATGCATTCATAGGGTATGCACTAATATAAGTGACAAAAGATTCAGCAATGTCAAGTCCTGTAAACAAACCACTCCAGGGAAGTAACATTAACACATAATTGTATGTTTTTACCATGTCAGACCTGTCACGAAAAATAACTTGAATTGTGATTATAGTAATTAATTTTTCCTCTGCCATTTGAAACATGCAAACTTATTATGGCAATGAGGATGATAGATTCTGGCCTGCCATTTTAGCGCATCTTATATTTACATTTCCATATGAAGAATTATTGCCAAAAGACGTTAACAGGATGAGATCTATACATAAACATATCTTGAAGTATATCCACTAACTTTACAATAAGACCTGAAGATCTTGAGAAAAAAAAAAAAAGAGGTAAGACTAGGCAAGAAAGATAAAGCAAAACTGAGATTTTGTCCCCAAAATCAGGCAGATCTAGAAATCACAGTGCTGGAAAACTCGTTTGTGGGGTATCGTACCAGTTTGAAAAGAAAGAAGAAAATGTCATTTTTCCGTCTGCTGTTGCAGTCCCCAAAATTCTGTTAATCTGACCATCTTTGCTTCATTATTGCTGTATTAACACTGTGTCCAGGGTGAGTGGGTGGCTTAGCTTCCAGCTCTGTGGCTTTCCTTCTGTTTTGAAGTGGAAATTTCTATGTCTTGGCATATAACTTAAAGAAAAAAAAAAGGGGGGGGGGAGAGAAGGAAAGGTACTGATTCAGCTGATAGGAGACTATGCTAGTACTGTTACCACAGGCACCTATTTAGGTGCGCTTATAGTGTGTAGTTTTATAAATAAGCCCGAGGGGCTCCTTCTTCGCCGCCACCCCGAGTCTTGCGCTCTGCCTGCCTGATCCCATCCGACAGTAGAGCTGATACCGCACTAATCCCCGCAAGTTTGGGACTAATGAACTAACTGCTGGGCTGCCGCCACGGAGCTTGGTCCCAAACTATACTGTACTTCACACTCGATTTATTCTCCAGATGGCGAGACTGCGCAGCCCCGCCGCGAGGGACCACCTCTTCCACTGGAGTGTAAAAGTGGACGGATGTTGTTTTCTTTGCAGATTTGATAATTCAGAGCTAGGAACTCATGAGGATGGTTAGTTATTAGGTTTAATGGGTGCCAATCGAGCCGGCAACACGCGCATTCCCGTCTTTAATTTCAGTGTCTGTGGGTCTGGGTGGCAGTGGATTTGTCGGCAATGCTGCATCACTGAAACCTTTATCTTCTCCAGTTGGCGTAGGTGCGCGTGGTAACGAACATCTTCTTCCCATGTCCTCCTCAGAGTCAAACAGAAGGGATACTAAAGTAGCCACCCTGACCAGCATTTTTTTTTCCCAATGGGTTTTCCAGCATGAGTGGTAAATTTAGCATATTTTAATAATATCACTGCTTACCATGAAGCTCTCTGTTGTCTTTCTCTCTTGTTCAGTTTGATGAAGAACCCAACCCATGTGGGACCCAATGGGGATACCACCGTCCCAAGCTACCCGGGGATGGAATCGTTTACTTAATGATCAGGTTTATTTCTTTATCAGCTATTCATTCATGACAGAGTATTATCTGATGTTGTAGTTCTCATGTGAAGAACAGGGTAAAAAATGTCTTTCACCATTCCTTAAAAATTCTAGTTTGACCATTCTTGGCAGGGACTTTATATAGCATTTGGGAAATGTGTTTACTCTCGCATCCACTACTATAAAGACCTTATTGTATCAAGGACTACTTTTTTCTCTACTGCTACAATGCTGAAGTAGTTTACCTAGCTTGAAATTTTAGCTTTTGCGAGGGTCCCACAATAGGAATAGCATCTACGTTTCCCTGCGTAATGAGGCAGAAAGGGCTCTCCCTTTCCTCCATGTTTTTAGTACATTTAGCAGAGGTTTTAGTACATCTTTTTATTTACCCATGAAATGTTTTATTGGAAGCCTGGGTGGGGACCTTATACACCCCACTAACATCAATGGGATTTTCTCCGTTGTAGGAAGGGTAGGCACCAAGTCAGCCCCCTCACAAGCTCTGACTTTGGCAGCCAGGTCCTCTCAGTTTGTCCCACAATTAAAAACAAAAATTGAATCCTGATGTGGAAACTATAGTGACTAGAAGTATTTTATCATGAAAGGGAAACGTTTCCATTCCTGGGGTATCCAGGCAGACAGATCTAAAATGTAGTGGTTCTAAGAAAATGCATCAATTCTCAACCCAACAGATGGCATGGGTGTGTTAACTAACATAGCAACATATTTTCTATTAAAATATGGGAAAAAAACAACAACCCCCTCCCCATGTTTGTTGGTTGGTATAAATTCAGTGAAGTTGTTGGTTATTTTTGGGATATGTACCAGAGGGCTGCACATTTAGTTTATGTAAATTGATAACAGCAACAGCCTGTTAATAAGTGTTTTGTATGGAAATATACCTAGAAAGACACGATCTGTCTTTTTTGGGAAGGGACTTTGCAGCCTGAGGAGAAAAATAGCTAATGAGACGGTCTACTGCTCATTATTATAATCTGAAAAAAATCATAACGAATTAGGCTGTAAGTTTGCTAGAGATGTGCCTTCAGTTGGAGTTGGATGCTGCCTTAGTGGATAATTTGGGGAGATCTTTCTTTTGCAAATTGGATCAGTGTGTGCTGAAACGGTGATAATCTGACTTTAATTAAAAGCATAAATTGGTTTGGAGCGTGTTTTTAAGCTACCCTTCTGCATCATATCCAGAAACTTTCAGCCCAGCCCTAGAAACCCATTACCCCTGGTCGGAGAAGGAAAACGTAGGGGATTTGTATTACCCGGTATTGGCATCATACGGTTCGGTTTACCTAATTCAGAAGAACCATTTCAGACGGCTGTGCGCCGGAGCTGTCTTCCAGCTGGATGTGTTTGTAGTAAACTGCATGCATCTTTGTGTGGCTTTCCTAATGGCCCCAGTCAGAGTCCATTCACAGCAGTTCGAACGTTTTGGGTTGTGTTTTCCAGAGATTACCTCTGAACGTGCCCCTTGATCGCAGCACAGGGATGCGTACATGTGCGCCTTGTTCCCGTCTGTCCGATTAACGGGCATATGCTCCCAGCCTTCGGAGAAACACGGCTAGTAGCCCCAAGCTGAAGGCTGTTTGCTTCAGATTTCATTAACTTTCTGCTTCATTATTCCTTCCTTTTAACCAGTTCTAGCCATCACTTGCTTTTTTCTAAACTTACCCTAATTATCGGGGGTCCCAGCCCTGTAAATCAGTACACTGCAGAGCTGTCTTAAACTGGCCTGGGAGACCCTGTTCTGATCGGACCTGACAACTGTAAGCTACCGTTCCCTCACACTGTTTAACTCAGACCACATTGGGAAACTGCCTCTGCCCCTCTCGCCAGCAGAGATTTGCATCCGTCTGGTTTAAATCTACTGTCATGTGCTGTCTTGCTGATTGGTATTAGCCTGGATATTAACTTTGATGATTTTTTTTTTTCATTTTTTCCCCTTGAGTTTGCCTGTTTTCTTGAAAAGCATCTCTATTCAGCGACTGCATATTGTTAAAGTCGTTCCTGAACCTCCGTGACTCAGGAGCTTTAAAGTTTTATTAGCCCCATAAAAACTCTTCACAAATGAAATGACTTTTGATAAGTGTGCATTTTGACAATGCAAATTTGTTAGGGGCTGTTGGCGAGTGGAAGGAATTTGGGGTTGAAACTGCAGTTGGCAGGAAGTAGGGAGCCCAGCGCCCTCCTTCCCCCCTCCCTGCTTCTTCTCCAGGCCAAGAAATGCATTTTGTTTCAGAAAAGCACGCAAGTATTCTTCATGCAAATCAACTATTAAACAGATTTGTAAATTTACATTCACAAACATAGCGAATGGCCATGGGAAGCGCGTGTCTTTGGAGATTTTATTTTGTGCCAGCAGGAGAATAGCTTTTTATGTGGTTCAAGAAAAATCTCCCAAGTTATTTTCACATTGTTTTCACTTGTGAGTTGTGAACTCTACCATAGGCTTTGATACACTTTGGATACATGGAGAAAAGGAAGATTTATATAGCAAAACCAAAGAAGTATACGTACATCTGTGCATACTGACGTCCAGGCAGTATAGAGATGAATTACAAAAATGAATTGTTTTATGCAAATTAATAACATGCTGGTTTTGTGAGTGCAGACGGTTAGTGCAACACGTTGTGGTTAGTATAAAGATTTGCGTTTGTTAGACATGTTCAGCACTAGTGGACACAAAAGTCTCATTTCCTACAAGTGGTGGTGTAGAAATACTTAGACATAAAACCTAAGCATTTTATTTACCAGTTATAAAGAAACAAGGAAGATAAAATTACAGGGTGCTGGTGATGACTGGTTCACTAAAAGTCCAAGAATGACAGATATTTTGGGGACACCAATATACTGGCTGTCTAGCTTTTTCCCCACATCGTTTCAAGTTTTCTGCTCAGTGCACTTTTCCGTCAATAGAAAACATGCTTTTTTTTTTCTTTTCTTGTGCCTCTAAACTCATATGTATTGTAGAGAGAAGCGAGACTGACCGTTGTCAAAACCCTTGAAGAGTTTGACTTTGGCCATGCTGAAAAGTGTGTTAGGATAAACTCTGTGTCCAGCGGTCTTGCAGAAGAAGATCTAGAGGTGCTTTTGCAGTCCAAGACCCTTCCTTCAAGCATGATGCTGCCAAAGGTTGAAAATGTCGAAGAAATAAAATGGGTGAGTACCAACAACACAGTAGCTTTTGACTGAAGCTGTTGGGCCAAGTTCATACATGCACAGAGATGAATGACTCTGAGTTATGAGGAAGGCAGCAAATACTGTATAATGTTGTTGCTTGGCTAAGGTAGTTAGGAAAAGCATCCATTTAAATGTGTGTAAGATGTGCTGTATAAAAAGCATACGTGGAACACTTTGCATTTATAAAGAAAACCAGGTTTACTTCTCCCGCAGTTAATAAAGGACCAATATTGATGTCAGAGTATTTTATCAAAAATAGAAGCGTAAGTATCTGACTCTCCTCTAACTATCCTAACAAGCAAAATGACTGCCTCTGTCGGTGAGCCTTAGTTACGTGCATTGTAAGCAGGAGATGGGGAAACCATGTTAGCGACATATGAAAAAATGAGTTGGGGGGAAGGTCACTCCTTGGGGCAACTGGAGGAACAAACAGGAAGCTTTTAACTAGTGTTTTTAATTAGCACAGATATTATTTCCTGAACAGTTCTCTATTTCTTCCTTTTTAATTGCTGACAGGTGTGTTTGTGTTTCACGACTGACTTTTCAGCCAATAAAAACCTGAAATGTAAATGGTTGGCATGTCAAATTACTTAAGAAAACTTTGAAATAGGCCTAATTATGCTATAATTGTTTTAATTGTCGAGAAAGGGGGATGTTTGTTTAGATATACCATTATTGCTGTAACATGCCAGTAAAGGAATAATGCTTGATCATTCACTTCTATATTTTTGCAAACCGCTAGCCGAGCAACTAGCACGCGTGCAAGCTGTGATGAAAGGCAGGCAGACGTATTAGGATCTGTTTTAATCTCAGCATCTAACCTTGATCAAACCATTGAGATCGGGTGTGAGCGTACAACTGAGCAAATAAGTTGGGTACGTGGTGAGCCCCGTCCGTTGCATGGCTCTGCCCCTTCGGCCTCTGCCACTCGCCATGCAAGCTACAGCATCCCCTTCCACCAACATTTAATTAAATTAACCGGAGTATACCTCTCAGGGTTTACAGCTGTGTAAGTGTTAGACGTAACCTGTCAGTAATGAATATTCATGCTTCCAAAATGGCAGGGCCCTTGCTGCCACCGAGTAGGTTTTGCGGGGAGGTGGGATGCGTGGGCTCTTTGTCCCCTCGTCCCCTTCCACCTTCCCTCTCGTTAACTTTGATTTCCATCATGGAAAACAAGCCAGTCCCAACAACTTCTGCCTCACAGTCCGCCTTTTGCTTCCCTCTCACTTTGCCCAACCTTTGCACACAAAGAGCCGCGCTCTGCTTAACACCGCTGCCTCCTTTTCCCAATCCTCCCAAAATTCACTCCGGCATGATTTTTCAGCCTCCCAGCCTCCCAGAAGCTGTTTATTTCCCCCCACACATACACACACCCCCCCTCTTCACTTTTATTTATGTGCAGCAGAAAACCTGGAGGCTGATGCACAACTAAAAGATGGGCTTACTTGTTTTCTTTTGTGTGAGAATCTCTTGCTTTCCTTTTGTCCCTAGTGTGGGTACTTGTTTGACTGGCATGGCTTATTGGACTATAACAAGCGTAACTCTCCCTCCTTTGTGGCGGGACAATTCTCCCACAAATCCCGACCAGTGTGCATTCTTCCCGACACACTATTGGGTGTGCACTGGAATTGAAAGAATTGCTGAGGCCTTGCTACTTCATCCCCTCCCCAAGCTTTGTGGGTTTTTTTTCCCTCCGCCTTCTTTTTTTTTTTTTTTTCCCCCTTTCTCCCTGAAATGAACACTTTAGCGAGCCGGAAACATTTAATCGTCTCCTTTTGAAAAAAAAAAAAAAAAATTTAATTGAAACTTCTCCACTCGTTACCTTTTGTATTGGTGCTTATTGCAAATTTTTTAAAAGGGAGAGGAAGGGAGACAATATTTAATTAAACGTGCTTTTTATTTTCATTTACCTTCAAAACAAAAGACAGCAAAAATCCCAGGCGTGTGACTTCTAAAATATTTTAAAATAAGAGAAGAGCTCTCCTGCTTTAACTTGTACCTAAAATATAAACACAGTAGCACTTTTTACTTTTTTTTGCGTAAAAAATAAAAATCAGATAGAAGTCTTAAAAATACATGCTGATGCTATTATATTACCTCATTTTCTGCATTTACTGTTTTCTGTCACTATAGTACCTGCCATACTGTACACTCGCACGTGTGAATTGCATTGATTATTATTTTTTTCTCCTTGCACATTTTTGGGTGGAATTCTCTTCTCCAAAGAAAAGTTACCAAGAGGGCCACAGTGACGATGCAAAGTAGGGATGGGAAGGGCAGAATTCTTCATCGAAGAAAGCTGTGATTTATTTTGGCCTAATTGTAAAGTTACTGCAAATTGCTGGAAAGCTTTTTTTCAAGATCTGGGTGATTAGATTTTCCTTCTTTTGGGGAGGGGTGGTGGGGGGAAGCTAAAAGGGGAAATAACACCTCTAATCCAGCTTCTGGTAAATAGGCTGCCAGCTTTTAAAATGAGTTTCCTTTCTATTAGTCAGAATATTATGCTAAGCCTTAAGCATTAGTTTTTTATGTTGCCATAGCAGCCTTATTCCTGCAGGGTTGTGACCTGCGATGATTACAGTACAAAGCTTATAGGGTCTTGAAACCCCCTTTGAAGATGAAAAGTCTTTGATGGTTTATATTTATGCAAATCTCTTAGATATGATTTACCCAACTGAGACTGAATGGAGAGATGATTAAAATTCCCTTTCCTTTGATATCCATTAATAGTCAAATATTCCTTAAATTTAAAATATATGCATATGTTATTTTTGTCTTTATTTACTAACATATTTTTGCCTTACCTGCGATATGTTTATCTCTGCGCAAATTACTCGATCTGGACAGACATAATAGATTTACAATATAGGGCTGAGGATTTCCCCCCCCCCCTTTTTTTTTCCCCTTTTGAAAGGGGAAAAATCTGTGCAAGAGCTTTTGTATGTTTCCAGATGATAGATTTTGGAATTTGGGCTACCCCACTGGCAGCTCAGAGCTAGCTGTGAACTGGTCTCATGGAAAAAATTGGCAAGCTTTGGTCTTCAAAGAATTAAACTTCCTTTTTAAGGCCTTCCTAGGTAAGCTAAAAAATTATGAAGAAAAGCCTATTGAACAAAAGGGTAACGGTGCCGTAATGAATAATACGGATGCCACTTAGAAGGCTGGGGAGCGCTTCCAGTGATGGCAGTGCTGGACCTGAAACAAAACCGGACCTCAGGTACAGCAGCACTTCATTGTTTTCCAGAGCCCGCGGATTTGCATTTCACTAAGCCAGGGTGAGAGGTGCTAAGCCTGGTTTTTTTTTTTTTTTTTTTTTTTTTCCAACCAGCCTCCAAACTCAGAAATGTATGGGAATGCTGTGGTTTCAAATCTCAGGCCTTGTTAAAAGCTGATTTAATTTTTTTAATTATAAGTTTTGGGGGTGGGGCGGGGTGTTGTTACAGCCAGGTAAAAATCTGATGTGTTATATATACATGTAGACTGTTCTTTTTTTTTTTTCTCTCTGATAGCTCATACTGTCTAGTTTTAGTTTTCAGACAAATTCTTACACCACCTAAAAGACCGAACACTTGTAGAACCAATGAATTTTATCCCCTTTGTGGAAACTGCAGTGGGCTTGCTCAATTTTAAGGTAAGCAGGTCTTGAAGTGTTCATATTTTGCCATCTCAGCAAACTAGGATAAGCAGAATACTCCCCAGTCTCCCCCTAATTTCATCAAGGAGGAGAGGTTAAAGAATACTAAACATATTGTTCGATCCCGTAAAACATTTGTACGTTGAACTCTCATGTTTGTATTGTAAAGGCCTTCATAAATTGAAAATTCAGTTCAGTGACAGAACAGTTCCAGACAGTCCATGCCAAATACCAAAACCTCTCTGCATTACTGTTATCATTTTTAACACACTTGGAGTAGGAGCTGGGCTTCTCCAAAGATTTTAAATACTCACGTTGTGGCAATACACTTGCTATTTAGTAACTATCAAACTCAACTTTTGTATAACATTTAATTAGAAAAAAACAATTAATCATCATTTCACTATTGCTTATCTGGCATCTTTATAATGGTTTCTACTGATAACATTACAACCAAATTTCATGTTACCCTTTTTTTGTGTGTATGATGGGGTGTTTAATGGTAAGATTAGAAGTATAATTAACTTTGAAAATATGAAATATCTGAAGAACATGCCCCTTTTTTAGGGTAATTTTAGATCAAATCTTATTTTTAAAGTGCATTTTAATATAAATTACTCCCCAACCTTTACTATCAAGTCCAGGTTTCTCAGAAAGGCAAGGCAGCATGGTAATGAAACAGAAGATCTCGTGCATGCACCAGAAATTCAGCATTCCCCTCCCAAGCTCTAAGGGAAAAGTTTCGGACCAGCTGAGGACACACACATCTGAAGTACCTCCAGAAGTACCGGCAGGCTTCACGAGCAGCCTGCTCATTCGATACAGCCATTTATCTTACAACACACGCTAACCTATCTGGGAACATAATAAAGCAGTAACCAAATAGACACACTCCTGTCCGGTGTGCATACGCGGAATTAAATCATATTTTAAACCAGCTGAGGTTTTTTCTTCACCTACAGTATTTTATAGTGAAATTTTGAATATTCCTGATGTTGGCAGGAGAGTTGCCTTTTAGAGCACTCTGTTAAAGAATAATTTCTTGTCCCACCAGCTGCCATCGAAGAACACTCATTAGTGGAACTGGTAATTACATCTCTCTCCATGTGTCTCTCTCCACGTACCTTAGCCTTAAAAAATATTAATATTATCCAAACATGGATATAAAATAGTAGTATTTTGGAAATGCACTTGTTCATAGAATAGCTACAGCAGCAAAATTTTTCTTGCTTTTATTTTAATACTTCTCTGCAGCACTTGTTGCATTTTTAACTTCCTTAGCTACGTTTTAGTTATATGTAGCGGAAGACTTTAAATTGGCAATCCTGTAAGGAATCCTTATATCCTATAAGGAATCTACAACTGTTCTAAACCGTTCATATTATTTATTTAATAAAAGAGATTCTGATCTTTATTTCTGCTCTCATGTGGGTATATTACATGTCAGACAAATCAAATTTCATACTTTTTCTTTGCTTTTAAGCAGTATTTGACAAATGTTTTGTTTCATATTGTTGCATAAATATCTGAAGTAGTGATCACAGTAATACCCAGGCATTACGTCAACCAGGAGGTAGGGAATGTACTACAATGTCCTGTATTTACAGTCTAAGCATATAGGTGCTTAGGGAAGGATAATGCTTTCTCTTTTGCTGAGTCATTTTAAAGCACTGTGCATAGCCGAGCACCTACAATGGCTTTGCTTAATAAGAGCAATTTTAGGCTGAAGGATTTTGGTAATACTGAGTTGCTGTAATATCATCTGTAGTCTCTCTGCGTCCTGCATTTCTGTAGCAATTAATACTCTGTTCTCATTTGAAGGCTGTCTGTGAAGAAGCACTGAGAACAGGATCCCAGGTTGGCTTTCATTTGGACGCAGTCGTCTTTGGAGGAGAGGATTTCCGTGCCAGCATAGGTTGTTACCTGTGTGTTTATTATAAATGTTAACGTATGGTATTTGCACTGGAGAAGCCCAATGTGATTTATGGCCATTGCTTTTCCAACAGCAATAATTAAAGTAATGACGACACTTGATTCTGCATTTTACATTTTCACTTTTCTCCTTAATTTTTTTTCAATGCAGAATGTGTCACTGGCAGATTAAAATGTGGTCCCTGAGTGTTACAGGGCACTGACACTTTCTTGTGCTTCTTGCCAGGCAGTACCGAATATTACGGAAAAAAAACCCAAAACCTGTTGAGTCACTGAAATTATTTAAAAATATAATACCCACAAGAAACATACACATGCTTTTAAGAACTACACTAAAAGTCCTCAAATTCCAGTGTCTGCTTCATCACTGTTTTACAGACAATTATCAGTCAGGATTTTGACATCACACACCAGTACTCCTCTGCTACATTTTGCTTTTATAAATTTACTTTGAATATGTCCCACGTCAATACAGCTGTGCATTCATGTGAAAGCACTATTAGCCTTCCTCAGAAATAAAAAGCATTTCACCACAATTTCTTTTATGAGAGGCCGCTTACCTTCTTATTAATCTGATTCAGTTTAAAGATAAAAGTGCAGAGCTATCAACATTTAAATTAAAAATAAGTACATTAATGTAAAAATTAGCATTGCTTTAATAAAATATTCCTTACAAACTGGAAAACTGTGTCTAAATAGTGACCCTGAGGAAAGCGAACACATTATTACTACTTCTACTACTACTATTATTATTATTATTATTATTATTATTATTATTTATTATCATCATCATCATTATTATTTCACACCAGCCTTCACGTGAGCACGTTGCTTAGCTGGTGCCCTCTGAGCACATGAAGTCTCATGAATACTTTCGCTTCTTCTCAGAAGTCATCTACCATCATTTTTTCATCCAAATACTAAAGCTTAAATATTCAGCTTAGGATATCAGTTGTGACAAGAATCAGAACCAAGGAAAGTGCAATTCTATTCTCAGTGTGAATTTTTTAACCATTTAGTTGTACCCAGTATATCAATTTTGTGTAAAGCTTCTCTTGCTGTAATGCTTCTAACTGTACATATAGTAAATAATATAATCAAATAATTACTTCATGTTAGTTCCAAGTCAGCAGTCCTTACCTGCTGAAGACTTCAGGCTTACAACTTCTGATTTGAACTAAATCAAAATATGAATTTTATCAGCTAGTGTTTAAAGACAGATTTTTTTTTTTTTTACTAAAGCACCTTTTTTTTTTTTTCTCAGAAGACTATCAGTTTGACAATATAGCCTTGCACCCCTCTTTTGCTTTCTAAATTGGTTAAATGAAATCTCAAACTTTCATTTTTTTCACGTAGGAAATATTTAAAATAGAAAGGTTTAAAACACTCTTGCCAGCTTTTCTTTGTTTTCATTGTTTTTGTAGGTGCAACAAGCAGTAAGGAAACTCACGATATTCTATATGCCAGGCAAAAAATAATAGTCACAGCAAAAGCATTTGGCCTTCAAGCAATAGACCTTGTTTACATCGATTTCCGAGATGAAGATGGGCTCCGCAGGCAATCAAGAGAAGGTGCCTCAATGGGATTCACTGGTATGGCTTTCTGCCGATGTCTCAAAATAATGCATATCTTCTTCAATTTAAATATATTGCTACGTTTACTGTCACTTAGACAAACAACCTGATTTTTATTTCAGTTCATTTATTGAAAAACTCAGTAATACCAAGCTCTTTTATGTTTATTAGCACCATTAAAATTGGGTCTGGAAATTTTGCCTGAAAAGTCACAGGCCGCTTTTTAAAAGCACATCCCATGAAGCGTGTGACTGTTTTTGAAGAGAAGTTGGGGTAGAGGCTGCGCCGTAATTCCTCCCATCACAGAGCACGGGAAAGGCGACACTGTACTCTGCGATGACCACTCTACAATTGCTTTTTAAAATATGTGGTTCCCATTCTCCTATTTTTTTCAAACGGCAGTTATTAAAAAATACTTTTTAGGCGACGGAGTTGAGAAGCAAATCTCGTATGCTAATTGCTAGGGGAAAGTTATTTTCTTATTATTTCCTTTGATTTGTTTTTTGTCTCCTGGCTCCCCTCCCAGTAAGTGCTGGTGACACCTACGGGTATTGGCAGACAGCAAGAGCAGCAGGCTCCTTGCCCCAGAGTCCGGTAATGCAGCCTGTTACCCTGTGATTGGTGTACCAGATCACTCGGACACCCTGGTGGGACAGTGCAGCCACCAAAGATTGGGGGTTTGCAATAGAAATCAGCCGTTTGACGCATGCATTAGAGAATTCTAGCACAGAGGACGAACATTTTACGTTTTTTGTCTCTGACCGTCGTTCAGGATGTACGTACGGTCATAGTGAATCTCTTAGGGTTTTATTACCAAAGGCATGGGTCCTGGTGATGCCAGCTAGCAAACCGTATCTTTACAGTTAGCAGTATAGGATATCTCAAAGCACCAAGCAAAAAAAACAAGCGTTCTTTTACGTTATCTCGACGTGCCCGTGAAAGAATAGCAACCAATGCTCTTCAGCGCAAACTCTGCCTTGCTGTCTGTTGAGCTTCAACATTTGCAAAACCAGATCTTGTTTCAGAGGCAAAACGGTTAGCTCCTCGCAGCTACATTATCCACGTCCCTGTGGACTTCCACCCTGCATTCGCCTGCAATTGAAGTTGGGAAAATAATAGAGCTCCTGAGTGGTAGCACCTGCTGATGGCTACCTGATCTCAACCAGGATTTCCTAGCTTAAGGAAAGGCTTGATTTTTGAAGAAACTAAGCATCTGAACCTCCTGTTGACAGAAGATGGAGTTGCAGATGCCTAGCACCGTTGAGAGCACTCTTTGAACGCTTAATGTGTATTTAAATACTTAACTCAGGCTGCCAATGTAGGAAATTTAGAAACGCTCAGCATAAACAACGTTGACGGTGGTTTGGGCTCCACTGACTTTATGGTGGAAGTTGTCTGACATCAGGATAGGGTCCAGATAGGAGACAAATAAAAAGGTCACATGTGGCAATTTAGGGCATAAAGTGAATTTCTAATTCGGCCATAGAGGTGTCTTGCCTTTCTGTACGAGGAGTAAAGATCAGTAAAAGCTACAGGCTTCATTCGGGTGAACTCACAGCTCCTGTTCTTTGCCTCCTGCCCTTCTACAACTATCATCAACACATTTCAAAAATCCAGCAAACAGCCTGACAACCAGTCCAACCATAATTAGAGATGAGGCAATACTGACTCTTCTGATTTGGTGGCCAAAAAAAAAAAATTTAAAAAATCTGTTTAAGTAAAATTTTTGGTAAAAAAGAAAAAAAATATTTGCCATTGATCCAAAACGTTTCACTTGTTCTTTTGTTTCTTTTGCTTTCAGTTTATCTAATGTTTTTATAATCTTTCTTGCTTGTTTTGATTAAAATAAAATGTCATTTCAAAACTGAAAGCAAAAACATTTTGTTCCAAAACTACATAAATTAAACATTTTAACTTTTCCAATTTAATATTCATCACAGAAAATTACAAATGGATCTTAGCTTAATCCATAACCTTGTATATAGCAGAAGTCTGCAGATCGTATTTGCTATTGACAGTCCTCTAATAATGTGAGAATAAACTACTGAAATGTCACCTTAATAACAAGTTCAAAACACGCAATTTTTGTTATTTTAAAATATTTAAGATCCCTTCCTGCTACTTCTTCACAAAGAATCAAAATCATTGAAATCAACAGGACTAAAAGGAGCTGAGGTTTCCAAATTGCTCTCTTAGCTGGAGAACACACACTTGCATGCATAGGGCCAAATTCATCACGCTCAAAACTAATGCAAATCCAAAATATTCAGCAAAGTTACATGTCCTTAGATTTTCCCGTATTCACATTTAGACCAGTAGAATTGGCCTTAGTGTAATCAAATATGTTCACTCAAGATTAAACAAGTAAAATAATAAAACAAAGAATTTACCCGCTATTTAGTTACTATTGTGACCCTCTGCTTATTGTAGCTGTTTTCTTTTCCAGTTATCTTAAAAGCAGTCTGGTTTTCCTTCAGTGAGTGTGTTTACATGAAATCAAATGTTTTCAAATGTAATCTAGCCAAATTAATAGATGTTTTATATGTATATTTATATATACATTGTATATATATATATTGGGGGATAGATATACACACACACATACACACCTGGCAAGAAGTTTTACGATACCAGAACTCATGGACTTAAAGTCAGAGTGTTGCCTATATAAATGGTCATCATTTGTAGGAATGTTTTTGTAAAAAATTAAGTAAACCTTGCCGCAAGCTTTAGCAGCTGACTTAGTCATTATGGAAAGTCCTGTCCTACATGCTGAGAAACCAGATATAAATACGAAACACTATAGGTTTCCTCTCTTTTTGCAGTCTTTTGTAGAAGACTAAAATGACACCATCATACAGTTACCTAAAAGACTTGACAGGTATTGATTTAAAGCACGATATATCAAGTGGTACTGTAAAAAGGATTTCATGGTCATAAATTTTAATGTCTTCCAATTTTGCACTCTCTCAGTTACTTGTCAATAACAACAATTCTGTTTAAAATATTTGCTTCGTTCCTGCATGGCATTACGTCTATTATACAGTTATTTGGATACATAATCTGTGACAAAAATCAACTGAGTGCTATAAATCAAAAGTTAGATTACATTCTCTGTAAATTGTTCAGGAGAGTTTTAATGATAAAAAGTATAGCTTACTGCTACAGATCTCTTTATCAAAAGCAAATCTTTTTACAGAAACGTTTTACAATTTAAAAAATCATATATAGGTATTTTTATTTTTGTTATAATTATAGACTGACTTTAAATATAATTTTAAATATATTCTACATTTTTCCCAGAAAGTTAAGCTCCTTAGGATTTTGCAGGAATTATTTGTGCACCCTTCAATTTTAGAATTAGTTTAGCTAGGCAGAATTTGTTGTATTACAAATAAGGAACATCATAATCTTATTAATGGTGACATTTGATTAAATTGACTAAAAAACCTTTGATTAGACCTACTGTAAAGCACGTTAGTTAAGAAAAATCTGTCTCCATGTAATTTCTTTCCAAAAAAATATAGTTCTTACTGAGTTTTAAGCTTTTACCTATTTTTAAGGTATTTTTTAAATAGACATTGAAATTTCAAGCTGAATATTTGGATGCCCATAAGATCATGAACTAAAGGTTGTTTAATTGGATATAAAATAAAATTGAGCTACTTGTGGCTCTTTGGCAAAGAAACGTAACACTAAAAAAATCACTGTTTCTTTGCTCGTTAAACTAAGTAGATTGCGCCGCTGCACCCCCAGATTTTGTCTGCGCTCCAGCTTATCACCCAGACCCACTGCAGTCCGATAAAAGTAATCCCAGGTTTTTTGCAGTGGTAATTTCATTTAAAATAGGTGTGTGTCTGCGGTCACGCGTGAGACTCCTCAGACTCAAGCGATGGGCTGATTTCTAGCGTACGGCTGCCTTCCCCTCAGTGAGAACACGGGAGCAGACGCCGCTGTGCGCAGGAAACCTCCTCAGGTCCTGACCCTTCCAACTTTTTCCTGGCGTGCAAAAATCTCGCTCCCGCGAGAGGCGGCGGCGCGCGGGGGGACGGCAGGGCTGCGGGACCCTCGGCGTGCGGGAGGCTGCTCACTTGACGGCAGGTTTGCAGGATCAGGCTCATCCCTCTAACTAGTTTTGTTGTCTGGCACGGGAGGCGAGTCATTTATTCCGCAGGAAGCTGGGAATTATGGTAGCCTCTCTTTCTTAAAACGCTTTGAAACCCAAGTGCAGAAATCACACCGGTCTGTGAAATTCCCTTAGAAATGAACTAATAATGTCAGATGTTGCACTTTTAAAACTGTCAAACAAATTAGATATGTATTTGTTTTAAGGTAGCTAAATACAAACCAGATTAAAACGGATTATGTGCCTGTCTATTCACGTTTGAAAATCTCAAGTGAAAAAAAGGCACCATCTATTTTTATTTTCTTAACATATTGTTATACAAGAAAAGATTAAAAAAAGTGCTTCATAAAATCTCCGGGCACCACTGGCAGTTGTTTAATATATGGGTGACTAAATAAATATTGCAACCTACCTGCAACTGCTAACTATTGCAACAACAACATTTTAAACAACGTTGAGGATTTTATGATGCTAAGCCAATACTGAGAATTTAGAGCATGATCCTTAGGTGACTGGTAGCTTTTCAGTCCTACAAATCTCTTGCCATCTTCTTCAGATCTCATTTTCTGAACGCATTTTAATACAACTTATTTAAGAGTGGCTGGAGCTGTTATTTATATAGTTAAATTCAGAGATTATTATTATTATTATACTTAAGTGTTATTGACTGCCCTGGACAAAAAATTGCACCTGAAACGACTGAGAGAAGATGTATGGATTGAAATGGGGAGGGAGGAGAAAGAATCGTGGGTTCTTTCAAACGATATTGAATGCAAGCGTAGCTCAAGATATTTTTATTCTTAAAAAAATCTGGCAAAAGGCTATCTGCCTGTTGTTCAGTTTAAAAAATAAAAGAAACCAAGTAAAATAATTAGTTAAAGAGCAAGAAAGTCTGCGAGGCATATGAGAGCCTCAAGTGGTTGGAACATTTTGCTTGAACATCTGTTTGTCGATGCATGATTCTGGTGTTATTAATCTTCTTTGTAGGTAAGCAGGTGATTCACCCCAACCAAATTGCTGTTGTCCAGGAACAGTTCTCTCCGAGCCCTGAAAAAATAAAGTGGGCACAAGAACTGATTTCTGCTTTTGAAGAACATCAGCGATTAGGCAAGGTAAATATTTTGTTAATATGCCATAGTGGAAACCAAATTTGAATAATATTTAAGATTTAGAAAGATTAGTGATGGCTCTTTGCATTTATCTTATGAAGTGTGCTGTAACTGAGAGTACTGCTCGTGAAGTCTGTATCTGGATAGACTATAGAGTGTATATTTATTATAAATGTGTCACTTCCCAATATATTTACAAATAGACCACTATCTTTTTCTCCGCCCCCCCCCAAATGTTTTAACTTTAATTCTTTGATTACACAGCCTTTTGAGTACCTGCATATATCTACAGCATTGGTGAATTAAAAGCGCTTCTCCATTATGCCGCAGAATCATGGTCTTGCTGTCATAGGAAAATATTTGCAATCGAAAGGCAGGTAGCCTGGCAGACGACTCGGACTGCTTGTGCAGACATCATTTATGGGAAGAAATAAACCGATTAGGAAGTCTTGCTTTTCTAAAAAATCTCTGTGTTGGTAAACCTGTTTCACTTTTGGGGTGTTGATCCTGCAAACATCCCTAGCAGTGAGTGAATTTACTTTTGAGCAAAACTGCTTGCAGATTGCGGTTCTTAATCATTAAAAATGGGAATGTTTTATGTGCATTTGTACCAATTGCTGGACCTGAAATTTGGATAGAGGAGAAAGCAAATTAACACTAGAATATGATTGTTCCTAATTTAGTGCATCATTGAGTCTCACGTTTCCTGCTCTGTGGGTTTCTGCTATGTAAATATTGCAGTGGTGATGCACAATCTGTCTCCACTTTGTGCCAGTAATACTTAAATTAGGGGTCGCCTGAAGGAAGATTTTATGCTAGTTGCGGCATTGTCAGTTAATTATCTTAAAGGTTATTTGCTATAATCCAGTTTGCCTCTTTTTGAAAGAAAAAAAGTTGCAGCTAAATATGTTTATCTTAGTTGCAGCCAAGCCCGGGCTAGTTAAGAAGCAAAGTCCCGATGTCAGAACAGGGAGCGCAGATGAGTGGGATCGGTTCGCGTGCGCTTGTGTGGCATTCAAGTGGGAAACAAATCTCTTCAGTAGTGAAGTTCAGATATATAAGACTGTGCATAGCGTCTCACTTTCTCCGGTGCCGTATAAAGGTTTTCTGTACATTTCTTCACTTTCTGGTGGGTAGAAATAGATTGGGGTGTGTGCCTCCCCCGTTCCCCTGCATTTTCTAATACTGCAGATGTTGTGCATTAGAAATGCTAAAATGGTCAAAGCAGAAATGATGCTTTCATCTCAGGGTAAAAGTGTGACAAGGTATTTGCTGTTGCTCTGCCCTTCTCTTTGCTAGGCTATCGCATCTGTGGTACTCTGTGGTACTCTGTGGTACCTGGGCGCTTCCAGTACTTCCATGACTACGATATTCAGGTGCTGTCCTGAGCAGTTATTTCAGAGTCACTATTAGGATGCTGTATGCCTGTATCTCTTTCTTCTGTTCCCTCGATTTTGAAATGTAGATGTCTTCGTGCAAACAATTTAGAAATAGAAAATGTACAACTGGTTTTGCCCATTACTCTGATTTACAAAGCTTGGCTTCCTTACAAAAGGCACCATTACAAACATACTGCTGGCGCAAATGTGTAGGCAGGTAGATGCAGAAAGAAAAAAGTCAAACGACATAGCCAAATATTGTTTATGTTTATGATGTGTATAATACTATTCATTCATCTGAATTTAGTGTCAGAAACTCGTCTAAGGAATACCCCTGTCATATGAACAATCAATGAGGAGACTGGACTGAATTTAACTCTAGTCCCAGTATCACACAGTCATGAAGCCAAACGTGTTTAATATTGAAGAATTCCATATTAGGCAAGCATTAGTCCTTGGATTTGTTTTGAAGCTGTTCTTTTACTGACATAATGCTGGTTTCTCGCTAAGATCAGCCATTCGGGGGAGGGGGGTTTGGATTTGAGGTTTTGTTGGTTATTTTTAATAAATGCTTTTAAAATAGATTATAAGCTTCTATAATCGGCTGCAAGAACAGATTTGCTGAGGGTTTGTGGTTTGGGCTATTTTTTTAACCAACCAGGTTGCATGCTTCATATATTTTTGCATGTAGCCGTCTATCAATAAAAAAGGACTGGCAGGTTAATATGTGAACTTCTAGATCTTATATCACTGCCGTATTGCCGGGCTTCATAAAAAAATGGGAAAAATAGTTTTCCATGTAGCGCTCCAAACTTCTTAACTGAGTTTGCAATTTGGTACTATAAATGTGTCAGTAAGAAGAGCTTGGACGGTCTGATTACTTAATTTTTTTTCCAAAGCAAACATATCTCACTGAGGGATCCTCTTGCTCTGCGTCCTAGCAACATGCTCAAATGTAAGTAATAACTCTTCCCCTACCACCTCCTGACAAATACTCCACACAGCGGTTTTAGTAATCCTCGTGTCCTAATGAAACACCTCTTCTGTTTTCCTTTTCCTTTTATTATATTAAAGTGTTCATGTCAGTAAGACTGAAAATATAGCTGTGGTTAATACGGTCGAGACTTGCATGGTTTTGCCATGTTATTAATCAAAGTTGAAAGCCTGGAAAAAATAAATGTGAGGGATTTGTGCGGCTGTTTGTGTGGTAGATAAGTGGTCTGCAGTCTCTGGGATCGTAGTTTGTTATTAATTGGGTTTAAAGTTTGATGCCCTTAGTCAACAATATTTTATATTAAAATGCAGTAATAAGCTTTTATAATCTATTCCAGTTTGAGAGCTACAATTGCCGCAATGATCTTTCTTTGAGAGAAGGCTGAACCAGGCTACTTCATCCTGGAGGCTGAAATGCTTTGACATAGTAGCCCCCAAATGTGAGTACTGAGGTCAGGAAAAATTAGGATCTCAGATGAGCGCTGCAGAATTGGAGATGCTGTGGCGGTGTCGGAGCAGAAGCAAATTAGAGAGCTAACCAGCTAGCCAAAAGTATTTGGGCTTACCTTACGGAGATAGTCTTGTCTGAGGGATTGTTTTGATTTGGCTTCTAGGTTGGTTTGGGGGGGGGGGGGTGTCACATTCTAATCTGACTGAGAGATAGCATATGTAGGAAATACACAGTAATGTATTTTGTATTCTATACAACTATTTATTAAGTGCACTCTTTTGTCTAGAACTTTGAGATCTAAAAATGAAAGGTGCTTAAAAAGAAAAGTATTATTTCCATATAATTTCAATATTTTTCCAGTAGAATTGCATGACTAGGGGATATGATTTTCAAAATTTAAAAATTCATCCTAAAGAAAAGAAGGCATAGCTGTTGGGAAAGTCTAAATATAAGATAAATGTCAGAGTGTGTTCAAAAATGAAAAAAGAAGGGTAATAAATATTGTTCTGGTACTCTAAAGGACAGTTTCTGTTCTAAATTTCTGAAGTATATGTACCACATTAAACAGGGAAGTGATCTTGTAAATCCAGATTAACCGAGTCCAAGGGGGTAGAGTTAGTGGGAGAAGTTACTAGTTTATTTCAAGAAAAATACCTGACTTCTACCAAGGAAGGTACAATAGTCGTTACTAGGTGAGTAATTCCTGCGTTTACATTACCAATACACTGGATACAGGAATATAATCTTTTCTATATGTAGTTAGTGTTTATACATGCCAAGAAAGTAACACACTGAAAATGCGGTTTTGAGCCATTTGACTTGTAAATACATCAGGCACAATATCATTATCATAACGGGATCTTCCCAAGTCATCTGGTTTTTAAATAAAATTTAGACGGAAAGAAAAAGCAGAAAAGTAAAGTAAGAGGTCGCTTACACATTTATCTCATGTACTAGTTAATAAATGCTTTCAAAGCACCCACCCATTAAGCCAGGGAATAGCTAAATGCTGCCGCCAAAGTCGCCTGTCAGGTAAGGTTTATTTAGAGTTAAGGTAAGTAATTCACAAACCTAAGCTGTAATATGGGTTGAATATTTCAGATCCCATGGCGCAAAACCGAAGAAATATCTGTACACGCCACATACAAATGCACAAAGTGCTTCTGAGAAGACCTTTAGCGTATGTTTCTTGCATTATATTCTGTGCCATTGTATATCGTGTTCCCGGCGGCTGAGGAATAATATATATGAACTCCAGCAATTTGACAAACTATACAGTTTCTTTTACAGACCTTTCCAGGATTATGAAAAATCTTAGGAATGCATTTATTTACACAGCATCTACCCAACAAAGGAATGGAAATTTCCAGCAGTGGCTCCCTTATAATGCTCTTTGTTTAGGAAAAGCTACCCCAAGCCACTGTATCTTGGAGACGATGTGCCCTCGTGCTTGGGCCAGATCCAGCTCCCACCGCCTCCCGGGAAGGTCTCTCCCGGCTGCCCTCCTTCTCCCGGCAGTGCCACAACCCCCTGGGAGGGCTTCCCGTGTATGGACCCAGCCACGAGGGATCCATCCCATCCCAATCCTGCCCGCTGGGAGAGCGGGACCGTGCCCCGGGGGGCAGCAGGCTCCTCCGGGCTGCCTCCCAGGAGGGATGCGCTGGAGCATCCCTCCCGCACGGGGCGGTGCGGGACCCCATCAACCCACGGGGAGTATATCGCGCTTATACCTCGGGGCTCTGACGTGGAGCTGGGCGTGCAGAAACAGCCTGGCTCCCCTCGCCCGGGACAAACCGCAAGCAGAGCTTTGAGGTGCCACCAACTAAGCGGGATCCCATCCCGGGGCAACGTCGGCAGCGCAGGGTACCTCTGTGCACGCTGGGCTGCAGGAGGACGCAGGGCATTCGCTGTCATTTATGTTAATTAGGCAATGTATATTCCTCAGGCTGCAGAGTGGGGGACTCGGGGGTTTGTGATAAATTGTCACCTTTTTCTGAGGTTCGGCCTTAAGAAGGTTAGGCTCAGGTGCATCTCTATGCAAAGATGGAACGCGCTGGTGGGATTGAAGCATGGGCTGCTGTTAGGTTGTTTATCTTTTTAATAAGTGGCCAGGTGAAATTTTTATGTGAAAATTGATGAATAAATAGAGATCGAGAGAGCTCATATTAGTACTTAAAGTC